TGCTTCCCCGCAGAAATGCTCCGGCTACCCGCGGTCCTTCGCCAGGCCAGGCCAGTGTCCCGGGCGCTGGCCCCGCAGCTCACTCGGGCCTATGCCAAAGACGTGAAATTCGGTGCGGAAGCCCGCGCCCTCATGCTTCAGGGTGTAGACCTCCTGGCCGATGCTGTCGCCGTTACAATGGGGCCAAAGGTACCAGTACTTTCATAATTACATATTAACTAAGGATAATGAGGGGCTTTTGTTTTGCGGTGCTGGGGATTGAACCCAAGGCCTCACACGTACGTACTAAGCAAGCAAGCGCTGCCATGGAGCTACACCCCGGAGGGGAGAAGCCTGAGGAACAGAAGTTGGGCATCCTTTGGTTTTGCTTTGGGTTTGGTTTTGCTTAGACCTGATGTTCTTAGACTTGATGGCCTTGAAACTTGAGCAGCTTCGGCCATGTTTTTGAAACTTTTGTACAACGTGTGATGTAATCAGGTGGTAACTGGGTAGCTCATAGTGGATTCCCCGTCTTGCTTCTGCTTGTATTAAATTTTGGATCTTTTCCTAGTACTGGGGCCAAAAGTGAAGAGAGTATAGCTTGAAGTGTCATAGTACTTAAGTGTGTTCCTGTAGGTGTTAAATTGTTGCTTTTTGTATTTAAGTACAACTAACACGCATTATATTTAAAACTTACTTATGTTGTTGGTACTACTGAGAATTGAACCTGAGGCCTTGTATGTGGTAGGCAAGGGTTCTACAGCTGAGTGCCCACCTCTGGATTTTCTTTTCTTCAGTGTACCTTGAGTGGCATTGAGTGCATTTGCATTCCTAGAGCCTTGGCCACCGTGGAGCTCTGGAACTTTTCACATCTGCACTAAGCAGAAACCTCCCACTTGCCTCCTTATACACACGAAGTTTACGCCATGTTTGCCTGTATTCTGTACCAAAGTTTGGTTAAGCTTACCCTACTTTGTGGCCCAGGCCAGCCTTTGAAGGTGGTTATGGGCAAGTGATGGTTCATTTCAAATGGAAGGCAATCCTGGTGTGTATCAGAAGTGATCTGAAGAACTGTACAGCTCAGGAGTAGAAAGTGGCTTGGGCCAAATTCAAAGAGCCCAGTATAAATTGTGCTGTTTGAAGACTTATGTTGAGAGAATCTGGAAAAATCACACTGTTCTTGCCATAGTGGTATCTTGCTAAGATTATTCATTTATGGTGCTGAGGATTGAACTCGCACCCTTCGTGCTGAGCTACATACCTAACCCCCCTTTTTTTAGTCAGTCTCAGTTGCTCAGCCTGAGTTCAAACTCATGATCCTTCTGCCTTAGCTTCCCAGAGTAAATTTTATTTTATTTTATTTTTGGACCAGGGATTGAACTTGGGACCTTGTGCTTGCCAGGAAGGCTTATATGCCACTGAGCTATAGCCCCAACCCTCCCAGAGTAAATTTTAGAGTAAATTCTATTACTTTAAAAAATAAACAGGCACCAGCCAAATAAATATAAATGCTGTGGAGTTTGTCCTGGAATGTTCTACTATGTCATCTTTTATAAGGGACATTTTTGTTTATGATTCTCATGTCCTGTGATAGCCCATTTGAGGTTATCCCCCCGCCCCCCCAACCAGGGATTGAACTCAAGCCCTTGTGCTTGCCAGGAAGCACTTCTTCCACTGAGCCATCTCCCCAGCCCGGGTTATCCTCTTGGCAGAGAAACAAAGGTCATTTTGTCTGTAGTAGAGTGTGGCTGAACTTGCCTTTAAGATTCATGTTGCAAGATTGATGAAGACAATTTAAGCTGGACTCAGTGGCCGAGTCCTAGAATCTCAGCATCTTGGGAGGCAGAGGCAAGAGAATTCCAACTTGAAAATTGAGATTCATGTTGCAGGACTGATAAAAAGATTACTTAATGCCAGGCTTGGTGACACATTCCTGTGATCCTAGTACTGGGAAGGCCGAGGCAGAAGGATTGATGCAAGCTCAAGGCCAGTGTGGACTACATTGTGAGGACTCTGTCCAAGAAAAGAAAAATTAAGCTGGGCCTTGTGGCCTGCACCTATAATCTCAGCATGGAGAGATAGAGGCAGGAAGATTACAATTTGAAAATCAGCTTGGGCAATTTATTATTAGCTGGAATGTAGCTCACTGCTGAGGCCCAGGTTGGATCACAGTACAGGGGACTGGGGTGGGTGGGGCAGTGGTCACAGCTCGTGTTACTACTGAAGACTATCTAAATGTACTTTGTTGGTGGGGGGCTGATCTTTCTGAGACAAAGTTTCACTATGCAGCTCAGGTTGGCCTTGAACTCAGCTGCTTCAGCCTTTATAGACATGTACCACTGTGCCTGGTCCTATCTAATCTTTTTTTTTTTTTTTTTCTCGGCAGAACCGGGGATTGAACTCAGATCCTTGCGTTTGCCAGTCAAGCGCTTATCCTACAGAGCCATCTCCCCGGCCCCCTGGCCCTATCTAATCTTTATAGAGTTTGATCCTGATACTTTTTTTCCCCTCCAATTGTAGGGAAGAACAGTGATTATTGAACAGAGTTGGGGAAGTCCCAAGGTAACCAAAGATGGTGTGACTGTGGCAAAGTCAATTGATTTAAAGGATAAATACAAGAATATTGGAGCTAAACTTGTTCAAGATGTTGCCAACAATACAAACGAAGAGGCCGGGGATGGCACCACCACAGCGACAGTCCTAGCACGCTCTATTGCCAAGGAAGGCTTTGAGAAGATAAGCAAAGGCGCGAACCCCGTGGAAATCAGGAGAGGTAGGAGTCTCTTAATTCCCAGTGTCAAAAATTGTATTTTTTTATTAAGAGTAAGAGTGTTACCTGTTTTGGGTCCTTTTTTCTGTTATTTACTGGAGGTAAGAATTATGGTACAACCCTATTAGGAACAGACGTAATGGAATTAAGGAGAATTTACATAGGGTGTGTTGAGTGGAGGGACTAGCTATACACGTCAGCCTTCTGTTGGTCCAGTTTTCTGATTACTAGTGTTGTGCTCTTGACTGTAAATTGGGAGGTGCTGTTCAGTGCCTGCTGTCTAACTAGGTGATAAGGAATAGCACGGAGACAGACGCTATGTGTGTGTACACTGAGTGTTGCATTAAAATGTGTTGGGAATCAAAACCTATGCGTAAGCATGGTGATGACATAAAGTCTTGAACTAGGTGTGATGTTGGCTGTTGATGCTGTGATTGCTGAACTTAAGAAACAGTCCAAACCCGTGACAACCCCTGAAGAAATTGCTCAGGTAAGGCTTTTTTTTTGGTAAGTGAATAGCTCTGATTCTTTCTTGAACTGCACATTAATACCAGAACAGTGCTGTCCAGTCACTGACCTCAGGAGCTTTTTTCTTCTGCTAAAACATTAGCAACTAATTTGGTGATCATAACTTGTAATTTTTGAGATTTATGATCCTCC